CTTCTCTCGGCGAGGGCAGTCAGAGCTGCAGGAACTGTTGTGCAACACAAGCCTGACAACTCTCTGGATGGGGCTGCAGCCGATGCCCCTCGGCAGACCTGCTCTCCCAGCAGTGGTGGTTGAACCCCTGCTCCAGGCTGAAAACAGTCCAAGGGGCATCACTGGATCTCCCTGGAACACTTCTGCGTGCCTAGCCAGCCATGTTGACACACAAATGCAATCCTGCTGCTCTTAGCTTGATGTTGTTATTCCCTTCCTACAAGTTACTAACTGCTGATCTAGTTTTAGCACCAGAGAAAAAAATCAATCTTGGTAAAATGGAATATAGCATAAAAAACCAATTCATGTTTAAAACAACGGCTCCAGATTTCCTCTTCTGTTTCAGGGAGAACACAGGCAGCCTTTAATATTTAACCTTTGCCACCACCTTGGCTTGCAACAGCCAGCACTTTACTCCTGTCAAATGCAGGAGACAGCTGTGTGATTCAGGATAGTGCCAGCATCAAACATGCTGCTAAAAAAATCTCTCAACAGCAGGCAAAAAAACACCCCAAAAAACCACCCCCAAAAGAACGGAATTCTGTCCATTAGATGGCCCCCAATGGCTCTGCTGTCTGTACATACACGGAGCTATGATGTGTTACAAAAAGGTGATAGAAGTGGCACTGCGGAGCTAGTCTAGAAACTTAGCGCATGTAAAGCTTGGCTGGAAGCTGCTTTTCGCAGCCTTTGATCCACAAGTAAGGAGGCCTTGAGATATGTCCAAAGACAAACATTTATCCTTTTCTAGGTTTCTCTTTGGGGGTACATTTGGACAAATACAAACACCAATGCAAACACAAACAATATTAAACAACTGAATCATTTTTTTTGAAGAGTTTCAACCTCCTCATTTTAAAAGGAAAATGAGACATCAATAGCATTTTGTAATTGCTCAGTCTGAAAATGCTCATTCTATCTCCATACGTAAAATCACCATGAAATGCATCTGTGCTGCAAAAGAATAATATCTGAAGGGCCCAGCACCATTCCCTCAGGCTAGAGCCTGGGTTTCCAGCACAGCGCTCCTAATGTTGTTAGACACACCCTTGACCAGCCTGTAGTATCTTCTGACATGGCTACGGTTTCCCTTCCCTATACACAACCACTGCTCAAAAACTCTGGCCATTGACATGAAACACTTGACAGAGGCCACTTCGAAAGATTTTTTGAAGCCTCATGCAATTCTTTTGAGAAAAATGAAATATAGCCTATTTGAGACCTGCTTCATCTCCTGGTTAGGCAGATCCTAATACTTCAACTCTGAAACTCAGTTCTTTCAAAAACTACTGCTTTTAATCCAACTTAAAAAAAATTCTTTGTAGATTCTTTCATTCTGTTTATCTCCTACTACCATAAAAAGAGCAACTCCACAGTCATGTGTTCTAGATATACTCTTAATGTGCCAGTGCCTTGGCTGATATCTTGCTTCTTTGCAAAATTTAATCTGTAATTTTCTCATATGAATCTTTTCCCTTCTGTTCAAATTGGATAGGAAGATACATTTCTACTGCACTCCGATGATTGTCACTGAAACATTGTGTGGTGAAACGTTTCAGAGCTGTGTTCTTATTTACTTCAGTATCTAAAATTTCTGCTGTGATGTGAAGGCACAAAATCACTTCAAAAAAATTTATCTTTTACAGAAGAGGTTAAAATCTCTCGCATTCACCACTGTTCTAGTGGATGTCTGACTTCCAGGCCCTCGTAGTGAAATTTTCAGCTCTATTGTGTGTAGATACCCAGGAAACTTCTCTTGGAGGCATCATCAAAATGCTAAAGAGATACATTTTATTTCGTTCCACTCAACAGGTACTGCCTGAACTAGGAAGAACACAAAAACATCCTTTTCCAAATGACACAGTCTTTCTGTTCCTAGCTAGCTTCTGACTATCCAAAATGAAACCGTTAACTTCTAATTTATTTATTCAGTCAAGCCTGGAGTTAATCTGCTCAGAAAGAAACAAACAAAAAAAACCCAACAAATAAATGAAAAACATATTTTCCAAGACAAAGAATTCAGTATGCAGCACTATTTCAACCAATCCAGACTACATATGAGAGACATACTAGTGAGTTATGACTGACACTTTTCGAATACGTCAGAAATACACTCAGTTAGAGCATATGCCCAGTAAACTAAGCAGCCTTTGCAGAATAATAAATTTTAAAGCTAAAATTGACTATTAGACCTCTCAGTCCGCCCTCTGCTATCCTTCTAACCAGAGAATTTCCAACAATTATTTCTGCATATTTTATAAGATGCAGGAGGAGCAAATAACTAAATAACTTCTCCTAGGAAGGCACTCAGTCATGATCTGAAAACTTCAAAACCTAGAATATCTGACACTTTCCTTGGTACTTTTTCAAATACATAATCACCAAAACCATTAAGAAGTTGAGATCAGTTTCTAATATGAATGCATCTGGATTCAGCTCCCAGCTGTGGTGGGTCTTTCTCTACTAAAGCAGTTTTAAGACTCTGTTTTGTGCCCACAGGAGGCTTCTTCATTACCATCGAGTTCCTCTTGATCCGCCTTTTTGAAAAACAAATTATGCTTTTTTTCAGGGTTATTTTGCACTGAGGTCACTGCACTGATCTTGTCTGTAGTGCAGTCCCACAAACACAACACAGGTCATAGTGGACTGCAGAAGAGTAGTAGAAATGAATGACTGGAGAGGACTTCTTAAACTGGTTGTGCTGCCAAAGAAAGCTCTGCGGGGGACAGATCTAGGTCCTCCGCTGTGCCACATCTCCAGTCTTCCCATAACACCTGATTTGCTGCTGTTCTTCACAACCTATGCAAGCTCACCTATTACGAACGTGGATGCCTACAAGAACTGGACAATTGTCTCATACAGTTCTTGAGTTCTGACAGCTTCCACCCATTTATTGAGATGTATCAGATACTTAGATCTGAACCCAAAGAACATGATTTTTATTAATATAACACATGGAATATGAACTACTGTCTATAATCATAGCACTTTATGCAACTCTTAAAAATTTGAGTTAGTATGTCCATCTTCTACGTGATGGCAGTATCAGGGAGGATAAACATTGCTGCATTGGCCAAATGCAGCAGATTATTGGGAGTGAGAAGGAAACTGCAATGGAAGGGTGCAGATACCTGCACAGGCCATCCAAAAGCAGAAGGAAGAAATGCCCAGGTCTCTCTTAAAAGATTTTTGCCCTTCCATTTCCCAACAGACAACTTTCTCCCACACAAGTGAGCACAGCCAACACTTTCACTAGTGTGCTGACACTTGCTCAGGAAATTTGCCACAGGCAAAACATTCGCAACTTGGTGAATTTTACCCGATTTAATTTATCGCCAGTTAACACACACTTCTAAGTACTGACTTGGGTATTTGAAAAAAATACTTTAAAGAAACATTTAGGGAAACATCCTTCCTTCCCCTTCTCCAGGATCAGCTTAATCAAACACCTTTTCTCTCCCCTTTCTACTCTCAAGTCCAATGTTTCCACCTTGTGTTAATTTGGTTCCTCACAATTAGTTCAGCAAGGCAATGGGCTGTGCAGAAGGTTGGAATCATCTGCGGAAGGGTTTCTTTCTGCTGCTTGTTGCTTATTCTTTGCTTTCCTCCCTTGCTCCTTACTTGTTTTCTTCTGCCTTGGCATGTGTTACCGATGGGCTCCAATCCCTTGAGGTGAGCACATTTTAAGATTTAGACCTGGATATTCTCCTCTTTTCCTAATTAGAAATTTCCCCACAAAAAGCGCAAAGGCTATACTGAAGGCCTTAAAAACACTGAAATAATTATATGGAAAGTTTGATATATTTACCTGTCCTTGGCTATACATTTATTGTCAAAATAGATAGATAAATAAATAAACAAACAGCTATTTCCATCATGTTACTGGGAGCATATCCCAAGTAATATCTGAGGATTTGATTTGAGGGTTTTATTAATATGTTGTAACTTTAAAGCTAGAAGACTACAGACCACCACTTAGAATTTAAAAAAAAAAAACAAAAAAATCAAAGATGAAAAAACAATGTTAAACACATTCTGTGTTTTCGAATAACAACAAAAGAAAGAAATATGTTATACTCCACTGTCCTTCATTAGATGAGCAATGAAGTAGACCTGTGCATTTCAAGAAATGCAAAAATAACATGTCTTCGTTCTCTACTAAGGAACTGACAGAATCACGCACAATCACACAAAAAGGCAGGAACGTGAGGAGGTCTCCAGACCGAGCTCCTGCTGGGAGCAGGGTTAGCTGTTAGGCCAGACCAGGTTACTCGGGGCTTTATCCAGCCGGGTCTTTAAAACCTCCAAGTCGTGTTTCTTCAGGATTGTAGAAGGCTTCTAACTATACATAAAGTTATGAAATACATTCAATGTAGAAAAAATCAATTGCATCAGTTAGACCACGTGTAAATATCTATCTGTTCTTTATTGCTAATTTACTATGCAAATATAGAAACCCTGTCACTATAAAAGTAAGCCAGACTGAAGGAATCTCTCAACAAGCCTTGCTATTGTGTTAAGTAATTAACGTTCACATTGGGATTCTTTAATGAAATAGAGCATCACCAACTGGTAAAATTTTCTTCATACTTGTATCGGAAAGCACCATGTGGAATTAAACTGTAATTGATTCTTGAAAGAGCACTTGTTCTATACCAGTACTTTGCTATTGGGTGTGTAGCACTACTTTACGGAAGCAAAGCTCAAAAACTGTTGTAGTAACTGATGACAAGTAAGCTGTTGTATGCTCTTGCCCTCTTTGGTTTATGAGCTACTAAATTCTTAGAATAAAAATAGAAACAGTAGGGTAAGAATATATCACAAATGGGATTCAGAAATCCTTGCAAGGAGAAACTGTGATCTCAGATTAATGAGGTTTAAAAAAGAAAAGAACAAAACTAGTTTAGGTAGAAAGAGAAGATGACATATATATAAATAGAAAGAAAAATGCATATACTTACTTTTGGCAATGCGTATTTTGGCAACTTCATCTGTACAAAGCCATTGCGACGGTAAGACACATAATACTTTGTGCGATTTGCTGCTGTTGTCTATACAAAGGAAAAAACAGAACCCTGAAGTAGTTTATGTTAAATCTAAAGAGTCTGCAATAGAAGACCTTTTTTTCTTTTTAATCTGCAAACACATAGCTAGCTTACGTAGCTGCAAATACATAGCAGTTTTTAAACTGAAATACATAGTTAATACTTTTGTTGCATGCAGTTAATTTGCAGAGCGTACTCCTAAAAGAATACACCAAAAGTTGTGACAAAATAGACTCCATATAGACTCAAACTCGTTTACTCTCCCCCTCTTTAGGAAGAAAAAAGTGATTTACATCCTTCTTTTGCCGTTTCAGCTGTCTTGCATGATACCTGAGACCTTCAGCATCTCGCTGTCCCCAGTCCTTATTGGTATCTCTGTACTCATTGGCCTCCCACATTTCTGCCCTTTCGCAGAAACCCAGGCTCCAGCACCCTCCAGGTAAGAGGCAGGGAGGAGGAACACTGGCCATGATCACCATCTGCCTCAAGGGCAAGCAGTACTCCAACAGCGCTATTCAAGCGGGGAAATAAAGGCTAAATAAATCACCCCAACATTATGTAAAGCATTTGCAATATTTGACTAATATTTTCCATACAGGAGAAAACGTCTCCCTGTGCAAGAAGCTGTCATGCCGCATGGGGGATAATGATGCAGTTCTGAATGAACTGGTTGTATGTGTGGAACTGAAGATAGATTATGAAATCCATTTTGAAATCCTACTCCAACTTCACTGCTTTTCTCCGCAACTTTCATGTTTAAAAAGGGAACCTGATTTGGAAAACAGCATGAAACATGAAACTTGACTTTGTGAAAATAGACTTGATGCGTCACAGCAAGTCCACCTGCCTGAATATTTTAAAGATATCAGAGCATTTGACACTATAATAATTTTCACTCTTTATTTTAAACTAATTTCCTTTTCTTGTGGTAGAAAGAATGTGATGCCCTTCAGGAATGTGATTTATTAAATGACGGATTAAACTAAAAACCTCACCATTAATTTAATTAGTGTTAAATAGCAGTTTTATCCATCTTTTCATAGCCTTCTTGTTCATCATGAATTTATTTTATGTCACTCATTTTCTATGACTGAAGATGATGCAAGGCAGCAGAGAATCAGAGTTGAAGCAGCTATTCATGTCAAGCCTCACTGACTATTAAAGGCTGGTCTGTGCTTAAAAACAGTGTTGAAACTTTAATCCTCCTACTAAAATCACCTCTGAAACTGTCTGAATGTCAGTGCAAACTGGAAAAGAAATGAGTATTAGAAAGTTCCTGATCTTCATGGATACAGACATACTAAAGAAATGGGGTTGAGATCTTCCTCTAAGATGGTAAAAGTCTGAGATTTGGGCCAGGATTAGCAGTGGAGACCTGCAACGCTCTGATTCACAGATGCACAGCTCAGGGGACGCGAGCGATGCCGGGGGCAGTAAGACAGTCTCAAACTCTCCTCTCTTTTTGCACAGATGATGCTGTCCCATTTTCTGACAGGTATTGCTGTGATATTAAGAGGAGTCCCTGGTCTGATTCTAATTTATATAGCACTATTATATAGCTCTATTTTAGTCTATTGATGAAAGAATTTCCATGTGGTTTTGAAGGTGTGCTGTTTCTCAGCTGTGCAGCTGCTGTGTGGTTTCACTGGAACAGTTGCCCTTAAGCAACAGGTATGGGGCTCTGGAATGTGAGGGACTGGCCACAGAGGATGTGGGTGAAGGTGAGGCTCCATCCAGGGGGTTGCCTAGAACGAGTCAGACAGCCCCACGTATTACAACTGCCTCAACTAAGAAAAAAAGGAGGGTCATTGTCATAGGTGATTCCCTTCTGAGGGGAACAGAGGGCCCGATCTGCCGACCGGACCCATCCCACAGGGAAGTCTGCTGCCTCCCTGGGGCCCGGGTTAGGGATGTTGCGAAGAAACTCCCCGGTCTGGTGCGGCCTTCTGATTACTACCCCCTCTTGGTAATGCAGGTTGGCGGGGACGAGGTAGCAGAAAGAAGTCCCAAGGCCATCAAAAGGGACTTCAGGGCACTAGGGCGACTGGTTGAGGGATCAGGGGCGCAGGTGGTGTTTTCCTCCATCCCATCAGTGGCAGGGGACAGCACTGAAAGGGGCAGGAAAACTCACCTGGTTAACAGGTGGCTCAGGGACTGGTGCCATCGGTCAAATTTTGGCTTTTTTGATCATGGGGAGGTATACACAGCACCGGGCCTGCTGGCAACAAGTGGAGTTCAGCTATCACAAAGGGGGAAAAGAATTCTTGGCCACGAGCTGGCGGGGCTCATTGAGAGGGCTTTAAACTAGGTTCGAAGGGGGAAGGGGATATTGCCCAGCTCACTAGGGATGAGCCTAGGCTTGGAGTGCCAAGGCCAGGGGTGAGATTGACAGCCCAGCTCAAGTGTGTTTACACCAATGCACGTAGCATGGGCAATAAACAG